ACAGGAAGTACCTAAGCAAGGACCTTCATGGCGGGGTCACCAGGTTTTTTTTTTTTTAAATAATGCTGAAAGCTTAAAAATAATAAAAATTACTATTTACATAATAAAAGCCCATTAACATTAATACAAGTTGTATAAGACAGTTAATAGAAAAGGAATGGGCTGCCATTGCACACTAACGTGCAAAAAACACATATGACCCAATGCATAGTGCATCACTTTGCATTTATCGACATTAAACCTCATCTGCCACATTAATGCCCCCCCCCCTATTTTATCCAGGTCCTCCTGTAATGTTATAGTGTCTAAGTCCATGTCTATTACCCTCCCTATTTTGGTGTCATCCGCAAACACGGAAATATCGCTGTTAACACCCTCCCCGATGTCATTAATAAATAAGTTGAACAATATGGGACCCAGCACAGAACCCTGAGGCACACCGCTCATTATACTAGCCCAGTCTAAAAAGGTGCCATTTACAGATACCCTCTGGACACGTTCCCGTAGCCATGCTATGCACCCAGCCAATACAATTTGTAGTTGACACTGAGGAGTTCCTCTCTTAGGGGAATGGGGTCCCCAACACACAAACAAGCCGGTGACCCCGCTGACTGAATCCCACCTGTAACTGAAACATTAATTTGCAGTGTAGATACATTGAGGTCATTGCGAATGACAAGAGATCCAATGTTTGTGCCTGGAGGAAAAGAGGTTCAACCTCTGTGAAAGGCTTCTTTACAGTTAGAGATGTGACATTATGGGATAGACCTCTATGGATGTAGACATGTCTGAAGACATTATATAGATATATATATATAGATTGATGCACAAAGTATCGATTGCCTTCGGGGATCAGAATCTCTTTCCTTGTTGGAGCACATTGGACCGGTTTTATAAAAGGTTTCTGCCTTCCTCTGGGCCAATTATCTTTTAGATTATCTCAGTGGGCATAGGTCTCTCTTTTTTTCACCTGACCAACTAATAAACTCTATAATGATGATCAGACTCCTTAACCCAAAACAAAAGCATCCGAGGACGGCCAGAAGTTCCTAGTGGAGCCCACAGACACAATGAGGTGATGTTTGGATGGAGAACACCAACAAAAGAGAAACAAAAGGAAGTTCATTTTTTGGTCTTCTCCGGGAAGTTTTTAGACTCTCAGACCTCCTGGTATGACCCCCTAA